TCTGGCTCCCTCCCGTTCCCTGCATTGTTCCCTCCATTTCACTTCATTACACAGCCACACAGGAATTGTATTGCCACAACAGGCAGGGTGGTGTGGAGGAGGGATGGTGCAGAGAGAAGCTGGAGGATGCTTGAACCAGATAACACGTTGTTGACTTTGGATGTTTTAAATTTTACGAATACTTAGCCCAGAGGAGTGTCCACACATTTCTCAGTTGCTGGTCCTCTTTTAATCCACTTGTAAACACAAGGACTGTGAAGTTCATATCATACGAGTACTTCAGAATTTGGGAAAGAGAAATATGGATGTATTTGAATTTATTTCTCCCTGAAGAGTGCCCAAGCTTGAGCAGATAATAGGTTTAGCTTCATGAAAGGCTAGTTGCATGTGCTCTTGAGTGCAAGACTGCCACTTGCTCACTGTTTTGTTAATAACTGGGCAGGGACCTGAAAATACTCATTTCAGTTAATCAAAATCGGTGATCTCGCCATACATTGTGGTTGTAAAACTGAAATGCCTCTTTTGGCTAATTTTACACCAGAAAACTTCCAAAATGTCAACATGAGATAGAAACTAAACCTTCTGAAATGTGGGAAAAATTGTAAGGATAGCGATGCAATTCAAGAAGAAGGGTTTGCAGTCAGTCACTTTTGACAGTCCTGTAGGACATTTCCTTGTAATTCTTCTTGCTTGAGTGGCTAACGCAGGTTTTTTAAAATAAATGTTTGTGTAAAAGTACTTTTAAAGTTTCTCATTAACCGTGGTGAGATTTGAACTAGACATTGATGTATATATATCTCTAAGTAGCATCTGTTTAGTGGATCACATTTGTGTGGCTTTATCACTGGATTCTTTCAGTTCAGTGGTTCAGCTTTTTAAAAGTAACAATCAGGTGCCTCGGTACTCTATGGCCGTGCTAAATCACCTCATGATAGTAACACTAACAAGAGTGCTGAAGAGTTTGGGATAGTTCATCCAGTTCTGTGCAAAGTGTGTAGTTTTATCCAAGTTGAGATACGAGCTGCTTTAAAATAGATGAAGCAAATTTTCCTGCATTTTCATCAAAAAATGAAAAGATTTTAAAAGGAGAGTAGCTGCTGTTGCTATATTTTTGAAAGATAGAGGGCCAGAAGTCTATTCTGTTGTTGTTTCTAGTGGATAATACCTGGTGACTTAATTAGTCTTAGGTACAGAGCATGTCTTAATACATCCATTTCCTATGCATTTAGCAGTTTTTCAAATTCTAGTAGTGCTAGCCAATGAAAGTGAAAGACAACATTTGTTGTTCTTAATTGAATTTTATTTTTTTTCTGAAAGCAGTTTAACACTAACCATGATTAAAAATTAGTTATATGGTAAATAAAATGTAATTTTATTTGCAACCTATTAGAGTTGATTTTTTTAAAGTTGTTACTGCACTGAATGAAGCACACCAAGCTGTTCTGTAAGTTAGACCGTTCATCTGTCACTCCAGTGGTGAATGTTGGGTAACTTAGCCATGTCTGGTGTGACAATTATTGAAGCACTGAAGCGTGGATGCAGTAGCTTATTTTTCAGCTGGGTTGTTGTATTTTGATATTTGTAGTACTTTCATAGTACCATTTTGCTAAATCTTGACAGGCATAATGGAAAAGGAATATAACTGAAGTAGCAAGATGTGCTCTCTACTTACAGTAGTGAGTAAATCTATTATAACATTTTTTGTTCTAGATAAAGGAACGTGTTTTGGAATTAGACTGTTAACATGAATTTATTTTTCCTAATTTGAAAAGCAGCATTTGACATCCTGTCAGTTGTAACAGCATAGGAGGTATACAGCTATATATATAGGAGGTATAACAGTCTAATAATCCAACACAAGACTAATATTTTTGTTTTTATGTAGGGATAATGAAGAGACAGCAAAAGACGAGAAGGCACCTGTGAAAGAGAAGTACGTTGCAAAAGCGAAGGCAATCCCTTCTCTTGGAAACAAGAATAGATTCCACCCCTATTCAAAGGACAAGAATGCAGGCACTGGAGAGAAGAAGGCTATTAATCGTAATAGAGTTTTTATTAGCAACATCCCATATGACATGAAATGGCAAGCTATTAAAGATCTCATGAGAGAGAAAGGTAACTTATTCCTTGTAATACACTTCACACAGAAAGGAGTAGAACTTAAATACAATGTGTATGTCCTTTGAGCCACACAGATTTGATTTGTTTTTTTTTTTTTTTTTTTTTTTGGCCTTTACTTGGTGCATCTATCTCCCTTCCCCCTCTTTCATCTGAGACAATTGCATTGCAGGGTAGGATGGGTAAATTAAGTGCTTACAATCTTCTGCCATTCTAGTGTGACAGTAGAGAGTATATGCATGACTTCATGACTTCTTAAAGAGATTGTGTTTTGTCTAGTTGTAGTCTTTGTAGATTTTTTTTTTTTTTTTTAAGGGCCATTGTATTTAAGCAACACATTTAGTGTGTTAACATGAATAATAAAGGATGTCTTTCAAAAGTAGTTTTGTATTTCTTTGGTGGAATCTGGCTGTGGAATTAACTTTGTCTGCATTGTCACTACTGCCATGACTGTTTGTCTGGAGATTTGTATTAAAAGCTTGTTACTATTGTTGCAGTTCCGATAGAGTAATCTTACTATCCCAAACGTTTTATTTTAAGTTTGGGGTAAAATAATACTAATATATGAATTCTTTAAAAAGTTAGTTCTGTGTTTTCCTTGAAAAAATTGATTCTTCAAAAGTAATGCAAAGCACACTTGGCTTTTAGGCTGTGAAAAATGCCAAATCCCCCCCTTCTGTAACTGCTGGTTTATCTGTTGTAAGGTGACGTGACTATTTGATTGGTTTATTTACTGAAACTTCCTACTTTAGAAAGTGAGTGGCTTGCTGTGAAATATTTGATGTGTAAATTTGGTTATGATCGAAGGCAAACTTATGATTGAAGACATTCAGGTAGAAAGTCACCTTAAAACAGGTGTTGTGAGTAGGATGATAAATGTAACACCTTCCAGTGAACGTTGACGTTTCATTTGTTAGGTTAAGGGACTCTGTATATCTGAATTTGTTCACCAACTATATCATACTGGCCAAAATATGATACGTAGAATGAATTAGGTTAAATATAGTTGTTTGTTCTTAGCTTTTGAGAATGTGGCTGCTGCATATTTCTGAAAATTAGCTAAATTATATAGCCATTGACAGGAGGTACGTTGGTCTGGTTTTGATTGTTGGTGAATAATAGGTGCTTCTCTGTAGAGTTGTGCACAGGGGCACAGTAAAGAAAGATACTGGTGTTTAAATGCATTGTCTCTTGGTATTTTCCCTTTGTATGTCTTATGTAGTTGGTGAGGTTACATACGTGGAGCTGTTTAAGGATGCTGAAGGAAAATCAAGGGTAAGTGCCGTGGGCAACAATCTGCTAGAGGTTTAAAAGTTCCTCAGCAGTTTTATTTTTGTATAATACCTGTACCAGTTATTGGAAAGTAAGTTTCATTTTTACACTGATTTTCATTAAGATAGCCTTGAGGATTCTGTATTGGAAGTAGCCTGACACTTTCATGCACGTCAAACTAGCTGGCTGTAAAGGACAAAATACTTCTGTAAATGTTAAGAAATGGCATTTACTTAATTCTTCTGTTTAGCAAACATCTTTGTTTTGGTACAAATCTGTTTCTTATAAAGGACATTCAATGAACCACTGATTTTATTTATTTTTTTTTTAGTGTAGTATTCTCTTCTTGGGGCCAGTGAGTATAAAATGTTAGCTAAGAATACACTGTTTGAAGGGCCTGATTTGACAGCTTTGTAGGGTTGGTACTCTAAACACTGGGTTTATGTATTTGCTTTCTTAAGACTAAATGGATGGAGATGGTTGGTAGCCAACAGAGTGCCAGCAATGAGGCACTAAGAGTGAAGATTGTTAAAGCTCCTTTGTCTTCTTAAAAAGAGTCAAAAGTTTGGCCAACAGTAGCTCTGAACCTGCAGTGAGAACATGAGAAATGCAGGTTTGAGTCTTTAACTGAGGTTGTATCAATTGTTGTAAACTACTTTCTTTAACGCTTGTTAAAACTAAAACATGCTGTCAGCTTTGCTTTACTTAAAGCAATCCTCAACTCTGTGCTTTATTAGAAGGATTCTGGTGCAGTCAATAAGGTTATTTTCTTACAAAGTAATTTCTCAATTATGCTAGTAATACTGAAGAGGTCTGTAGGCTCCTTGTTCATCGTACTGGAATACTTGATGTAGGTAGATTCGAATTTTGTAGTCAGCAGGTAGCTTTTAATGGCACGATATGTGTCTTGATTGGTTTTTGGTTATGTTTTGGGATTTTTTTTCTTTCCACCTTTCCCCCCCACCTCCTTTCCCCAGCTGTCCTTACATGGATCTGTGTGGCATTTTTCCAATTCTGTTTTGGCTCAAAGAGAATAAAAGATAATATATTCTCTTGCGTTTGAAAGGTATGTATGTTGAGAAAGTAGGAGAAATTCAGATTGGCTGCCAGTAAAGAGCATGTATTATGGATTCTGAAGCTGAAAAGAACTTGAATAGTTATTTGACAGTGAACTGGGATCTTTAACTGGAATCTTAAATGCTCTATCATATGTGCTGACTGACTTTTTTTTTTCTTTTCTTCTTTACATATGATGACAAATCATCATGGATGCAGGGTTGTGGGTAAGTTTCTTTTCTATGTGTGTAGAAACACACTACTATCCAAACATTCTGTTAATTTTAACATTTTAAACTTTTAATACTCTAAATGTTTTTGTTCCCTCTAAGTGTGGTGGAATTCAAAGATGAAGAGTTTGTTAAGAAAGCATTAGAAACTATGAACAAATATGATCTCAGTGGAAGACCCCTGAATATTAAAGAGGTATGGCTATTGCTGCTGTTTTAAATCTGAAATAGTGAAGATGTTATAACTACTGAGATGATCGTACAGTGTTTTGAGCATCTTAACTGTGTAATTTCCAATTAAATTTTAATGACATTTTCTTAATGGGCTAAAGTTAGCTTGCAGAAGGTCTTGATACTATGCCAAGTGGACTGACAAAAAGTGTGTCCTAAAGTCAAAATAATCTAATGCTGTTTTTCTTTAGAACTACTTTAATTTCATATTCTTACCTTAGTGTCATCAGGTCTTTCCAACCTAAACGACTCTATGTTAACTTTGTTTACCCACTTCAAAATATGATACATAACGAGCTGAGTATTGGACTGCTACATATGTGCAAAAATGGGTCTGGAAGTAAAGAACTTGTGCTGACTGGAAAGTGAAATTAATGTCAACATTTCTATTGTAGTGTTGTAGTATATGACAGTGTCTGATGCTGTTCTTTTTGTCCTGTTACAACTTTAATAATGATATAAATAAATAAATAAAACCTAATTAAATTAATTCAGTTCTTGGAAGAAGGTGCTAGACTGACAGTCCTTTAGATTGAAATCTTTTCTACTTGTCCATAGGCTAGGTACAGCATGTGAAGTGGCAGTGCACGCTTCCTCACCAAGTGCTTTGCCAATATGCCTCAACCCTCATCTGAAAGGACCCACCTCTAGAGGTGAGGGAATTAGGTCTCCATGCTAATTCAGTTCTTGATCCCTCTGACATGGACAAGGATATTAGCTGATAATTTTGATGGGTTTATGTAGAATTTCAAATGATACCTTTTTGTTTGTTGCCAGTCCTTGTGTTGATGGTTAAGTTGGCTTTATTTTTGCCCATGTTGCAGGATCCTGAGGGTGAACATGCTCGTAGGGCATTACAGCGTGGAGGACAGTTTCCAGGAGGACATGGACCTGATGTGACACCTGGAATAATGAATTTACCACCTTCTATTCTCAATAATCCAAACATTCCTCCTGAGGTTATCAGTAACTTGCAGGCAGGCAGGCTTGGGTCCACTATTTTTGTTGCTAATGTAAGTTTAAAACTGTATTTTAGAACTGTAATATTTGATCTTTGTAAAACATCTTATATTCCTGCGTAGTTCAGTTTTAATATAAAGAGGAAATTGAAAATTAGTTCACAATTAGTGTATTCAACTAAAAATGATGGATATATATTCAGATTTTGGAACGTGAAAGAGGTTGACATGCACTTTTAATTATTGCACAGTCATCTGTTGATTCAAAAAAATATTTTATGTCGTTTCGCTATCTATTTGCAATTGCATTTCTTTTTAAAATTAAATATACAAGTCAGTTTATCTTGATGGTTACTTTAGGTTAACTTATATTTGTTGGAACTTCCTAAGTTCTTTATTTGTACCAAAGACTACTATGCCTGCAAGGGGACTTGTGGTAGTAAAGCTGCTCTTGACAAGAACCCATCCATTTCTAAATGTTAGTAGTTTAATTAAAGTGAAATGTGTGTATGTGGTATAAATTGTTGTCTTTAGTTGACGTTTTTGGACTTGGTTGCAGTGTGTATATATTAGAAAATCCTGGCTATTTACATATATCAAGCATTTTGTGAAGCTGAGGAGTTACAACAATGCAGAAAATCTCTTCCAAGTGTAATGGCAGAACAGAAATGTGCACTGAAATCACTAATGTATTTCTGTGTGTAAGCTTGACTTTAAAGTTGGCTGGAAGAAACTGAAGGAGGTCTTCAGCATTGCTGGAACTGTAAAGCGTGCAGATATCAAAGAAGATAAAGATGGCAAGAGTCGAGGAATGGGAACAGTTACCTTTGAACAAGCAATTGAAGCTGTTCAAGCGATATGCATCCTTTGTTTTGAAAAATAATTGATCACATATGAATTACTCTTTAATGGCTTCTGATAGTGTGGTTTTGCAAATGGTGCTTATTTGCCCTGGAGCTGGGATGTAGGGACAAGAGGATACTGCTCTGCAGGTTACATTTTTAATAGTGACCAAGTTTACTGTTAGAGTCTAAAAAGTGTTCCTGATAATACTGAATGAGATTAAAATATGTGGGAATGTGACATGTGTGAAACTTAACTTTTATATACCTAACAGCTTGTATAGTCTCTTCTGGCCTTTGAATTGGCATCCTAAAGATTAGGGAAGGAAAGATAAGACTGATAAAAATGGTAGAAATAAAATAAGTTATTACAGTGATTCTTCTGATATAGTGAAAGTGTCTTCTATAGTTAGATTCCTTGACTTGCATTTCTTCAGCTATGTTCAATGGACAGTTCCTGTTTGATAGACCCATGCATGTAAAAATGGTAAGTTGCTTACATTTCCTTCTACCTTACAAGTCTGCCAAAACATCGAAAGGATCATAGGATAACATCTTTGTTTTTTGTCAGGATGACAAATCAGTTCCTCATGAAGATTTCCGTGGTGCGGACAGCAAAGCTTCACAATTACCTCGTGAGTGCCCACTTTGTTTTCTACTCCTTGCACTTAATACATGTTGATACAGACTCTTGGGACAGTTAGTAGTACTTTTGCTTGCTGTGGTCTCTTTGATACATAAGAAAATGTTTCTTCTGGTGATACTTACTTTTGTTTTGAAAGGTGGTCTTGGTGGCATTGGTATGGGACTTGGACCAGGCGGACAGCCCATCAGTGCAACACAGTTGAGCATGGGTGGTGCAATGGGGAGCATGGGTCCAGGAGGTAAATCTGTGTTCTTGGTTTTTAAGTTTTGCAGAGCTTTGAGTTTAAAATAATAATTTCTGTGTTTGGAAGAATGACATAGTGTTGACAAAGCAAGCCTTGTGTTGTGTGCTGTCTCTGCATTCTTTTAAAATCCAGTAGAATGTTACCTGTCTTCTAAATGGTGTTTTGTCTTTTTGATTTAAAGGTATGGGAATAGATGGTCCTGCATTTGGCGGAATGAATAGAATGGGAGGCGGTACGTGCAGTGAAATTCTTTGCATTAAGTATTTTTGTTAATATTGTATAGAAAACTCTCTTCTTTATTTTACAGGACTTGCTGGATTTCGTGGAATGGAAGGAATGCCTAATGTGGGAGGATTTGGAGTCAACCGAATGGGAGGTAGGTGAACATTGTTCCTGTACACTTACTAATTTGCTAGTATGTGTTGTGGTGGGTTGACCTGGCCTGAATGCCACATGCCCACCAAGCCGCTTTATCATCCCCCTCCTCAGCAAGATGGGGAGGTGAGAAAATAAGATGGAACAAAAACCCTAAACTTGTGGGTCGAGACAAAAAGCAATTTAATAGCAACAAAGCAAAGGTGTGCGTGCAGAAGCAAAAGAACAAAATATTTATTCTCTACTTCCCATCAGTGGGCGATGTTTGGCCACTTCCTGGGAAGCAGGGCTTTGTACGCATAGCGGTTACACCAAAGGACAAACATAAATATCAAGTATCCTCTCTTCCCCCTCCATTCCCCTTGCCTTTAATTCTGAGCAGACATCATATGGTATGGAATATCCCTTTGGTCAGTTTGGGTCAGCTGTCTTGGCTGTGTCCCCTCCCAAGACCTTCCCCACCCTGAGCCTGCTGGGCGGGGGGAATGTTGGA